CGCGTTTGCTGGCCTTTTGAGGCTTCAGACTCTCGGGCCCCGGTTGTATATATATGTAATTATATGTAAATATACCCATGTAGCTTTAGAATCGATTTAGACTAGAGGAAATTTTACTTTACTTCGAGTGATCCCCCACCACATGACATTTCAGTCATTTTCTGGCATGTATTGAAACAATATTTCGGCATTCTTTCCGGCACATCTTCTGACATTCTTTCTTCTGACATGCTTTCTGGCATATCTTCTGACATTCTTTTTGGCATATGTTTGATATTCTTTCTGAATCTTTCAGACACTCTATCTGGCGTTCCATCTGGCATATCTTCTGACTCACGGTTGAGGTCCAGCGGGGAACACTGCCATCCTGCACTTGCGGCTGAGGTCCGGAGGAGGAGGAGGAGGAGGAGGAGGAGGCGGAGAAGGAGGACGAGGAGGAGGCGGAGGAGCAGGGCAGCTTACATAAAATCTAACAACCCTCACCTGACAGGGGGGGAACAATCATGTCGAGCAGTAATATGCAATTACACTCAAATCCATCTTCTTTCACACTACTAGGAACAAGAAGCTACGAACCGGGCTCCTGGCATCGCTACGAACGGAGCAAGGACGCTACGAACGGGGCTCCTGGCCTTACTTCTAGGAACAATCTTTGCTATTAGATGGCATTGTCCGCACCTGGCGACCGCGCTGCTGGTCGTGGCATCGGGGACAACACTGCTGCGAACCACCGAGTTGCCTTTCAGATAGGGCGAGCCTTGGACGAGGGCCCGGCGATGCCCCGCGGGGCTGGGAAGGGTTTGAGTCTGAGTGATTTTCTTCCACTGATATTTTAGAAGTTTTGATTCATGACCCTGCAGATTTGGCTTGTAAAATGTGTTCTTTCTGTATCAATCCACCGTCTACATGATGCAGTAGATGATGGCCTTGTTATTGGGGGGGCGATCATGCAACCTGTACCACTCCAGGGGCTGAAGGGTCTAGTTCTTTGGTAAGAGCTGAATTATCTGGATTGTGCCATTTGGAGTGGATGTGGTGCAGCGGCTTCCCGTGCCCCCGTGCCCACCAAGAGGCCGTGGAGGAAGTTCTGAGCGATCCAAACCACCTCGGTCGACTCGGAGCGGTCGACGGGACCCGTGCGAAGAAGCGGCGAGACTGGATCAACGAACTTCCAGGTTTCTGGGGAACATGGAAGAACTATACAGTGTTCACGTAAGCTGTTCACGTGAACAGTGGGTGGTGACGCGAACTCGCGTCGCGGACGCCAAACACCCAACGCTGAGTACTGTACTATCCCTGTCATGAATGAAGGATCTTAATCTTCTACTTTCCTGAATATTAACATATAATGCATATATGAACCGTCAGGAGTACCGAAATGAGATGATAGACGTGGCCGCTTAAAAGTGGCTCCATGTGACTCGTCGGCTCACCCCCACCAAGAGGACCTCCGGCGACGGAAGCCAGCAAAGGGCTTCATCGCCTGGCACCGAAGAACTTGTAGGGAGTGGTCGGTTCGGAAGGCTTCTTTCTATGAACCATACTGGACATGCTCACAAGTTATTCCTGGTATTCTCATGAAAAGCTTCTCTTGAAAAGCGCGCCCACTATTATTTCTGGGTCAAGCTGAGATGTGCGTGCCAAAAGGATAAGCCGGTTCGCGAGCATTGTTTTGCTAAGGGGTACTCTTTCGCGCCCGCGCAGGGAAAAAACCGGTAAACATTGAAACTTTTCGATGTTTATCGGTATTTTTTTACCGCGGGTATAGTATTAAAAATGGGGGGTACACACATAAAAACAAACTCTAATTTTACTGTTTTTACCGCGGATATGGTAGAAGAAAAAGGGGCGACTCTCCGTTAGTGTTTTCCACGGATAATTAACAAAAAAGGAGCGCCCCCC